CTCTCTCTCTCTCTCTCTCTCTCTCTCTCTCTCTCTCTCTCTGAAATGGGGGGCAAGGATTTACTCTTTCTTCCCACGTCTTCTACTTGTTACACCACTACCCTCAGGGCAGAAAGGAGGCTGGGAACTCTGAGAGAGGCTACTTGTGTCCAAGGGTGCACTGACTTGTTCCCTAGCTCATCCCCCAGAGTACTCGCGCTGCTGTCTCTCCCCCACCTCTTGCCCTCCAGGGGGCCTGAAGCCTCAGCCAGCTGTTGGAAACCTCTGCTCAGGCACGCCATGAATTTGAGGACAGCTGGATTCCAGGGCAAAAAGCAACTCACATTGGTGTCTATGTTTGTGTACCTGCCAAGTCACCCCAAGATGAGATAACTCATCTCAAAAATTTTTTCTTCATTTAAAAATCCTCTACCCTTTCCCCTTCATTTCCTTGGGGAGAAGAAAGTGTGGTCTTTGAAGAGGAACCTTTATAATTATAGGAGTCTTTCCCCAACCCTTCCAAATACCGACAAATTTCCATCCTTTCTGGAGGATTGGGGCTGTATTTCTAAAAACCAACACAAATTGTCTGGCAGGAAGACTCTTCAACCCCCTAACGAGGCTCATGTATTAACTAACATGTTGTCTCCACCAGCTCCTGCACACTGTCTGCTTTTGGGTTCGAAACTTTATTTTTCCCCCCTAGCGACACTCCAGGGAAACCTTAACGTTACAGAAGATGAATAAACGAGTTTTTTCCCAGCGTAGTCCCGTTTATGGCTTTATTGCTACCCATTGATTACTCCGCTTTGTTACACAGAAGGAAAAGATCATAAAATCCGGCGACATCCGGGTTCTTGTTATAGCCAGTTCCCCCCCAACCCACCCAAAAATGGTGGGGGGAAATATGAGCTTTCACTGCTCCTTACGCACTCCCCATCACCCCTCTTTGTCAACTCAAAGCATTTTCAGCCTATATCACGATATTAAATTAAGTTTGGACTAATCAGGAGAAAACCCCCATCTGCACACTTTCCGCTGTTTCAGTTCGCTACTGCGGCTCCCTCACAAGCCTCGGATTTAGCTACCTTTTTGTAACAGTGTCTTCCTTTTTTTTTTTTTTTAACCCCCAAGGTGGGAAAAAATAGGGATTGAGGCTGTTGGGAGGCCCATCCCCACCAGGATTAACTAGCACTTGGGCTAGCTAGAGCTCCCTAGAACCCCTTTCTGAAGTCTCCAAGCCACATAGCTCAGGTCCAGGGGCGCCTCCACTGGCAGTGCCCTGAGTCTGGAGGGGGCAGGGGGCTTCTGACCCTTGCAGGGGCTTGAGGCTACAGGAAGCTAACTGTCCATCAGAGCCCCAGCAGCCTTCTCTTTCTGGCTGGATCCTATGTGAATTAACCCACCGGCCCTCGCTGGCTCCAAATCATAAATTCTCACCAACATAAACAGGAGTTGATGTCTCTAGAAAGATTCTCAGAGTTTTCGTTCTTCTTCCTTTCTCTCTCTCTCTCTGTGTCTCTCTCCACTCCGGTTCCACCTCCCTACATTTTGCTTCTTTTTCTCCTTTTTCTATTGGATTTTTATACATTTTCCCTTTTAGGTAAAAATGCTGGAAGAGTTTTCCCAAAAGAGGGGTCCTGAGGAGGAGGCAGAAGAGGGCCAGGATGCAGAGGAAAGCAGATGCATGGGCCCTTTGCCCACTTAAGCTCTGCCACTGTACCCTGAAGTCTTGCCCCTTTAGACGTAGCTGTTCCCCACATCCCACCTGCATTCAAGACTCTGGGCCACACTCTACTTACTCAGGGGAACAGGTTTAAGGAAATTCCTTTCTACTTTTGATTTTTTTTAATTTTTGGAGAAAAAAATACTAGTTTAGTGATGGGACTCACTCTATGAAGCATCAAACCAGGATTTCCTGCAGGATTTCTAGGGACCTCCTACTGTGCTGGGAGGGAGTTCCTCCCATGGAGAAATCAGGATGTAATTTTAGAAGGGGGCAGATATAAAAGATGAAACCAGATTGCAAATACAGGGATTTCTCTAGCCCTGGCTCTGGCCACATCACAGCAAAGTTAGCTGGGGCTGAGAGCTTTCCCGGGAGGACAGCTCTCCTTCCTGTGTCCCAAGGCCCTGCTCAGGGACATGCACCCCTCCTTCACCACCAAACCAGTTCCCTTATATATATATATATTTAAAAGAAATCCAAGTCTTACTTTCAAAGCACACACTTAGTCTCAACTAGGGAATCAACAGAAGCAGAAGCGATTTTTTTTCCCCCTTCTTGACATCTGGCTTGCGATTGGCTGGGAGGGGGTCAGCTGACTTTGTCATTTTGTCTGTCCTGGATTGGAGCCGTCCCTATAACCATCTAGTTCCGAGTACAAACTGGAGACAGAAATAAATATTAAAGAAATCATAGCCCGACCAGGTAAAGGCAAAGGGATGAATTCCTACTTCACTAACCCTTCCTTATCCTGCCACCTCGCCGGGGGCCAGGACGTCCTCCCCAACGTCGCCCTCAATTCCACCGCCTATGATCCAGTGAGGCATTTCTCGACCTATGGAGCGGCCGTTGCCCAGAACCGGATCTACTCGACTCCCTTTTATTCGCCACAGGAGAATGTCGTGTTCAGTTCCAGCCGGGGGCCGTATGACTATGGATCTAATTCCTTTTACCAGGAGAAAGACATGCTCTCAAACTGCAGACAAAACACCTTAGGACATAACACACAGACCTCAATCGCTCAGGATTTTAGTTCTGAGCAGGGCAGGACTGCGCCCCAGGACCAGAAAGCCAGTATCCAGATTTACCCCTGGATGCAGCGAATGAATTCGCACAGTGGTGAGTTTTACAGCTCCGAGATATAAATTAAATAAACTGAACTGACTTTATGACCGGCTTCCCTAGAAGAACGGGCGGAGAGAGTTTTTTATGGCCCCATAAAAACAATCACGCTCGTCTCCTCGCCGAGACAGGGCCCCCTCTTCTGCCCTCTCAGCTAGCCTCCCGCTCGCTTGCAGGGGCCTGGCCCCCTTGGCCCCTGACGGATTGGAGGGCTCCCAGGCGAGCTGAGGGGGCAGGAACAGGGCAGGGGATAAGGGGGTGAGCAGAAGATGGGGGAGCCCCCCAAAGTGGAGTCAGGCTGAGGAGAAGGGAGGGGGAGAGGAGAGGCAGAAAAGTGGGGAGAAGTTTCCAAGGCGCTAGGATGCTTGGGGAGATGGGAGAGCCCTGTCCTTAAGAAAGGGGGCCCTCATTCCCATTATTTGGGATTTTTCAAAAATCAGCTTTTAGACTTGCAGCTTTCTGTTTGCCTTTTGCCCCGCCCCCCAACCCACCCCACACACCTTTCTTTGGGACACACACTTCCCACCTTATGGGAGGTCTGAATGAAGTTGGGGTCCTGGCGGTACCCCCACTGGGGGTGGGGCAAGGCAAAAGGGAGAAGGCTAGAGCCCTAGGGGCCCGTGAGCTGCTGGCCAGGTTGAGAGGGTGAGGACTTTGCTAGGGGAAATAGTCTGCGGAGGACGCCTAGCTGATTGTTTTTAGTGTGTTTTGTGCCCGGATCTTTAGGGGTCGGCTATGGAGCGGACCGGAGGCGCGGCCGCCAGATCTACTCGCGGTACCAGACCCTGGAACTGGAGAAGGAATTTCACTTCAATCGCTACCTAACGCGGCGCCGGCGCATCGAGATCGCCAACGCGCTCTGCCTGACCGAGCGACAGATCAAAATCTGGTTCCAGAACCGCCGAATGAAGTGGAAAAAAGAATCTAATCTCACGTCCACTCTCTCGGGGGGCGGCGGAGGGGCCACCGCCGACAGCCTGGGCGGAAAAGAGGAAAAGCGGGAAGAAACAGAAGAGGAGAAGCAGAAAGAGTGACCAGGACTGTTTCTGCCACCACTCCCCCTTTCTCCCTCGCTCCCCACCCCAACTCTCCCCTAATCACACACTCTGTATTTATCACTGGCACAACTGATGTGTTTTGAGACCCTAAAACAAAATTAGGGAGTCAAACGCGGACCTGAAAGTCAGCTCTGGACCCCCTCCCTCACCGCACAACTCTCTTTCACCACGCGCCTCCTCCTCCTCGATCCCTTGCTAGCTCGTTCTCGGCTTGTCTGCAGGCCCCTTTCCCCGCCCAGGCCTTGGGGACTCGGTCCCTGAACTCAGACTCTACAGATTGCCCTCCAAGTGAGGACTTGGCTCCCCCCACTCCCTCAACGCCCCCACCCCCGACCCCCGTGCAGAGGGCCGGCTCCCGGGCCTGGGGCCTCTGCTCCGGGGCCTCAGGGCCCAGCCTGGCAGCCGGGGAGGGCCGGAGGCCCAAGGAGGGCACGCCTTGGCCCCACACCGACCCCCAGGGCCTCCCCGCAGTCCCTGCCCAGCCCCTCTAACCCAGCAAATGCCCAGCCCAGGCAAATTGTATTTAAAGAATCCTGGGGGTCATTATGGCATTTTACAAACTGTGACCGTTTCTGTGTGAATACTTTTAGCTGTATTTGTGGTCTCTGTATTTATATTTATGTTTAGCACCGTCAGTGTTCCTATCCCATTTCAAAAAGGAAAAAAAAAAAAAAAAAGAGGGAAAATTACAAAAAGAGAGAAAAAAAAGTGAATGACGTTTGTTTAGCCAGTAGGAGAAAATAAATAAATAAATCCCCTCGTGTTACCCTCCTGTATAAATCCAACCTCTGGATCCGTTCTCGTATATTTAATAAAACTGACATTATTTTTAAAAGTTTATACCGGGAATTCTGTTCATTCGCTCGCCCGCCGGCCTCAGGCTGAGAGCTGGAGCAGGCTCCAAGCGCTCCCGCGCCTCCTCGCCGCCTGCAAGTCCCCAGCCCTCAGCACTCGCCATCCCCGGAGCCAGGCGCCTGGCCCCGGCCTCCTGTTCGTTCTCGCGATCGCACTGACGGGCTGGGAGGCCTCTCTGCGCTCCCTGCGCGGAGCAACACACACGACCTGCGAAAAAAGTCGCGTAGGATTTTGTTGCGGGGGGAAAACGGGATCAGTCGGCTTGGGCACGAGCCCCACGCAGGCCTCCCTGCCTGTGGCAGCCGGGGTCCTCAGCGTCCGAACCCCGAGGCCCCCCGAAAGACCAGTAAAGAAGCACTATCCAGGCACCAGGGTCGCCTCCGCCCACTCCCGGGAGCTGGAGGCGGGGGGCGCCGTGAGAGCAAGCCCCAGGCCCGCGCCAGGCTGGCTGTTGCGAAACGTGGCGGAGGCGGAGAGCGGAGGGAAAGAGAAGACCGAGGGACTGGAGCCCTGTCGGCAGGGATTGAGCGATTCAAGGACATCTCGAAAGAGAAAGCCTGGAAACTGAGCTCCAGCCTGATCTGGGACTCCTGACGTGGCCGGGACAAAATTCCTCCTTCATTACAGCTCCAGCCGAGCTGGTTCCTGACTCTTCTCTCCTCTATCGGGCAAAGAGGCGGGTGAGGAGCGCAGCCGGACCCTAACTATTTATCAGCCCTGGCCTTCTCTCCCCAAGCCTGGCCAGAGAAACTTGAGTGGGCCTACGGGGAGAGGTGTTGAGGGGGGTCTCCGGAGGGAAAAAAATCCACCAGAGTTTTCCAGGCCTTTCAATTCCCTCCAGCGCCCCCCACCCCTCGCCTCTAGTGCCTCCACCAGTGAGGAGGGGGCCTTCTCCTGGGCAGGGGCGGAGATTTCCTGGGAAGAAGCAGGCAAGAAAGCCTGAGACTTGGGGCTACAGGGGGAAAGGAAGGGGCCGAATGGCTGCAGACACCCTGTGAAGGCTGCCCAGGCGCTTGCCCTGCCCACCCCCAGGTCCGCCCCATTCCTCCTAGTAGCTCAGAAATTCCTCTCCTGGAACTTACAGATTCAGGTTCCTGGAAAGGCTGGCCCAGAGACCTTTTCCCCAAAGGGCACAAAACAGGCCTTTTCCTCTGCCCTTTTCCTCTGCCGTGCTCACGTAATATTTGTGGAGGCTTGAATCTTGTTTTTCCATGCCCTCAATTTAGACATCTATTTTCTGTCTAAAACCTCTGGCATAGGTACCACATAAGGATTCCACGCAGGGAGACAGAGCAGTCCTCTAGACCATCGTCTGGCTCTGTCCGTGTACACACACACACACTTGAACATTGCCTTGTTGCCACTCTGGGGACCCTAGCATGGTGAGGTCTAGTCAACTCCACCTGGCCCCTCACCTCCAGATCCATCCCTGACGGCCTGCAGCACCCTCAGCCTCATCACCCCCCTATCTTGTTCTAACCACTCAGGATCCCTCCTCCCTCTTGTCTATCTTGTCTACCTCTCTAGAGGCGAATTCTACTTTCTCATGATGGGCACCTCTTCAGCAGTGGTGGGGCCTTAGGGCCTGCGAGGCAAGGGACTTCTGCCTTTGGTTTAGGGAACCTAAGTTTAAACCCCATTGGTTCTCCAGTCTGGGCATGGGCCGCCCTACCTAACTAAATCCCTTTTCCTCAGCCATTTTTGAAGATTGGAAGACCATGGAGGTTGGGAGAACGGGGCTATCCATTACAAAAAGCACTCTGTACACAACAAGTGGCGCCTCATCTTTCCCAATTTTAAATCGAATTTTAACAGCTAGCTCAGGGGTTGCCCCAACAGCCAGCTTCTCCTTACAGGGTAGGAAATCCAGCCACAGGAAAGCGAGCTGGCGCTCCAGGATGCAATTCCCCCATATAGGCACCAGGTGTCGCTGTGGGCTTGTTGTCCCGGCTACCCCCAATTCCAAGAACCATTTTTTTTCCTCCCCCTTCCCTCTCTCTCTCACTCCCTCTCCCCCTTGGTTGGGCTTTGCCTACATATCGAGATGCGTTTCGCCGGCTTCCATCACTAACCTCCCGGAGGTCATCAAGCCAAATTTATGAGTGGCCGCTTGAGTCACGTGACTCTATTTAAGGCTCCCTTATTTGGGAAGAGCGCATAGGATAAAGAAAGAGATATCTCCACCTATAAATTGTGCACTTTGGAGAACAAAAAACCCCTCAACTTCAAAGAGTCACAAATCACCCTTAATCAAAAAGGGTGCAGAAATTTTTTTGGGCCCTCCCCGCCATGAGCTCCTACGTAGCCAATTCATTCTATAAGCAGAGCCCCAATATCCCTGCCTATAACATGCAAACTTGTGGGAACTATGGATCGGCCTCAGAGGTGCAGGCATCCAGGTACTGCTACGGCGGATTGGACTTAAGCATCACTTTCCCACCGCCTGCGCCTTCCAACTCTCTCCACGGGGTAGACATGGCTGCCAACCCCCGGGCTCACCCCGACCGCCCCGCCTGCAGCGCCACGGCCGCTCCGGGACACGCTCTGGGCAGAGACGAAGCGGCTCCTCTGAACCCCGGGATGTACAGTCAGAAGGCGGCTCGCCCGGCGCTGGAGGAGCGAGCTAAGAGCAGTGGGGAGATCAAAGAGGAGCAGGCGCAGACAGGGCAGCCCGCCGGACTGAGCCAGCCACCGGCCCCGCCACAGATTTACCCGTGGATGACCAAACTGCACATGAGCCACGGTAAACTTTAGGACTTCATTTTGCGCGCTCGGGTCCGCCTGGGTTTTATAGGCCATGCGGGGCAAATAAAGAAAAAAAACCTGCGGCCATAAATTTTACGATCCAGGCATCAATGGCTCGTAAAACTGTCCACTAAAAGGCTTAGAGGCTGTGTGCGCCCAAATTTACGACGACATAATTGGATCATAGGAACAAAACGTGTATAAAAGGCAATATTCAATTTTTTGGGGAGAGGGAGGGAGTTAAAAAAATAGAGGGATCTGAAGGGTGAGGAGCGCGGGGCTCCAGAGCGGGGATCCCCCCGCGGCTCCCTCCCTCCCTCCCCTGCGGAGCCGGCTCTGCCGGTGCTCGCGGCTCCGGAGGATTCCAGCGACTCGGGAGGGGTGGGAGGGGGGTCCCCGGTGCTCGGATCTCGAGGGTGCTTATTGTTCGGTCCGAGCCTGGGTCTCCCTCTTCCCCCCAACCCCACCTCAGCCCCTCCGGCTGCAGAGTGAAGGCTGCGGTGGAAAGTTTCCTGCCTGGGCGGAGGCGCCTCTCCCGGGGTTGGGCTGGGCTGGGCCGGCCCGCCTGCGGCCAGCGCGGCCTGTCTTGCGGCTTTCGCCTCCTCTTCCTCCGGCCGCTGGTGGGGGCCTGGGGCTGGAGTGGGAACGGGGGAAACGCTGCACGCTATTCACCCCTTCCTGGCTTGGGGTGGGGTTTATGTTCCAGAGACGGACGGCAAGCGGTCCCGAACCAGTTACACGCGCTACCAGACTCTGGAACTCGAGAAAGAATTCCACTTTAACCGCTACCTCACTCGCCGCAGGCGCATAGAGATCGCCAACAACTTGTGTCTCAATGAGAGACAGATCAAGATCTGGTTCCAGAACCGCAGGATGAAGTGGAAGAAAGATTCCAAAATGAAAAGCAAAGAGGCTCTTTAGAGGCAGCGGGGGAGGCCCGCATAGAGCGCCCCTAGCCGGCTCCGGTCCCTGCGCCTTTCCTTTTCGCCTTTCCTTTCTATATTTTGGGGCGGGGGCAGGTGCTGGAGCACTGGGCTTCCGGGCCTCACAGACAAAAGCGCTTTTCCTTGGCATTCCGCATCCCCACCGACCCAGGGTTCCCGCGGGGTTGCCCACGCTGCCCCGTCTCCCCTCATCTCGGCTCAGCTTGGTACCCGGGGCCCAGGGCAAGATCCGCAGGGCTTCCCCGGAGGGCTGCGACGTACAGGCTGGCGCTGAACGAACCTTGGCCTGGGCCATCTCTCCCGGCTCCCAGCCCCAGCGCGGCCCTCCCAAGTTAAGGTGGGCCCGGCCGGCGCCACAGGACCCTCGCCCGACCCTCCAGCTTCGCCCTCTCCTTTGTTCCCGGCTGGGCGGGTTAGGCAGCCGCAGGCTGATGAGAGTCTGGCCCCAGACTCGGGGTGCTTTCTTGTAGCAACTAAACTAGATTTTCACTTATTAATTATTTGCATATGAAAAAAGAACTGAACATCGGCCTAGGGCAGCCTGGGTTGCTCTATGCATTCCAAACCTTATCCCCACAACCGCACCCTCCCAAAACCCGGGAACCTCCCCAGCCTGCGCCTGCTGCATGCCCTCTCAGGCCGGCAGCCCCAGCCTGCTAGCTAGCTCAACGTTTGGGGTTTCCTGACACTGGACCCCAGCAAGTGGTCCTAGAGGCCCTTTGCTGTCCCATAGTCCCTGCCACGACTTTCTGTGCCCTCCTGACCCATTGCTGTTGTTCAACTATTTATTGACTCTGGGTCCTTCCTGAAACTATATTTTGTCATATCAAATAAAGACGAAGAGAACAAGACTAAAGATGCAGTGGCTCCTGTCTGTTTGGGGCATGTACTGGGCAAAATTGTCTAAATGGGCTGTGAGGTGTAGAAGGAGACCTACAATCTTTAAGCCTCCCCTTTAAAATTTTTTTTAGCTTCTAGGGGCAGTGAGTAGAGAGAGGTGAAATTGAGTTCTTTTCCTGACCCTTGGCTCCAAGAAGAGCCTCTGGGAAAAAAGGAGGGCACCTAGGCCTCGGGTACTGGCTTTTCCGGTGCTATCGCTGTCCAAGGCTTCAGGCTTCTGCACTCCATGAGGCCTCTGGACTGGCAGCAGCCCCCACTGTATGCCAAAGCTCCTCTGCAGAGACCAGTGGCTCCGCCGCCATGCTCAGCCTCAGGCCCTTCTGGGCCTCTGAAGATCTTTTCTGGGTGTAAGTGGTCCCTCAGAGGCCTCGCTGACATAGAGGGAGAGGGACCCATTTGGTCCCAGAAGGGCCTCTAGAGAGAGTTGGCATTGCTTGGTAAGGGGATGTTGGAAAAGTTGGAGGGGCTGTGCCTCAGTATCTAAGAATCTGGGGATGAGGGAGCAGGGAGGACAATCAGCCTGGCAGGAAATGTTCAGACTGTTTCCTCCACCTTCTAGGGCCTAGGGCTATGCAGCACAATTAACTGAGAAAGGAGCTGCATAGACCAGTGCTGGAGTCACGTCTGTTTGCCATCATTTATCTCAGTCTCTGGGATTTTGTGTGGAGGGGAGGATGGGTTAAAGGTGGGGGCGGGGGGAGGCAGATTATTCAGGTAGTGTCGGAGGCTTAGGTCCTTCCCCAGGCTCCTGGGATGGGCTGGGGGAGGAAGCACTTTGCAGTAGAAACAAATGTGGGAAGGGTCCATAAAACTTTACTGCATTTCCTCTCCCACCTCCCACAATGGGGTGATTTCCTGGAGCCAAGCCTAGGCCCCCCACACTGGTGGCGTGGGGGTCTAGAGCTGGGCTAAAGGATTGCACCAGCAGCCAAGAAGAAAGTGAAGCAGAGAGGCTCTGGGGAGGGGCAGGGGAATATTTATGATTATTAATGCTGATGCTCCCTGGATTTATTATAAGGACTAACTTCGCTGCATCTCACTGCCTAAGCTACCCGTCTGTCCATCATTTTTTAAAAGACTCAAGAGCCTTTCCTCACCCCATGCCTGGCATGTAGGAGGTCTCAGCAAATGTTTATTGAGCAGTGCCCGCAACTACCACCCTTCCCCTTCGCACTGCACTCCGCCAGGTTAGGGCGCCTGCTGTCTCCTCAACTTGCACACCGCAGTCAGCCCAGACCAGCACTCGTTCTCCTCCCTTCTCTCCCTCTGAAATAAAATGTGTAATTTTCTTCAGGGAGTTATTTTAATTTTTTCTCCATGCTGAGTAAAACTATTGGGCGAGCAGTGAAGCGTGGAGAAGCACTGGCGTCTCTGGTGGGTAACAGTTAACTAAGAAAGAGGCTGTGGCGCCCACACTCACCCGCTCCAGCCTCCCAGCTGCCCAGGCCCTCTGCCTCCTCTCCAGGGGTCTGGTGTACCACTGTAGGAGGAAAACCCAGGGCTTTGCCATGGATAGGGGCTACGTGGGTTAGAGCTGCCAGGCAGGGCACACCAGCCTCACGGTGCACTGACTGCCTCCTCCCGGCAGGGTTTGGGCCTTCCCTGGAGGGGCTGAAGGTCTGACTCATTTTGGCCAGCCTTGGGTAGACACAGCGTGCCTGCTTGCTCTCCCCGTTCCTGTCACAATCTGCAGGTCTCTCCAGGCCCCAGCCTCGCCTAGGCTTCTGCGGCAACAGCGGGCAGCAACCAAGCCAGAGGCCTCGGACCTACTCCCCTGCTCTGGGGGTGCGTCAGGCCCAGATCCTTGCTTTCTCCCTGAACAGGGGCTTCTGCTATGTGGCCTGGGGTAGTTTCCCCACCAGCCAGCCTCCTAGAACAATCTCCAGGTACCAGGGGCTGGCGTTGCTCTGGGAGAGTTCATGGAGGGGGGCTTCTGGGTTCCAAACGGAGACCATGGAGCCTGCCTCTCCACTTTGCCCTGGAACCCACCCCCTCTGGCAGCGAGAAAGAAGGGGAAGAAGCGTGACTTACCTTCCCGGGGGAGTGGGAAGAGGGGGACACGGCCCACTCTGAGCAATTAGAGGAAAGAGGAGGAAAAAATAAGAGGACAAAAATATCAACACGACCTCGAAGGCGACAGGTCCTTATGGAAATAAGTAAGTAAATAAATAAATAAGGATCCACCCTCTCCCCCCTCTCCACCCTGCAATGGGGGGGTGGGGGTGGGGCAAAGGAACAGCACGAGGGCTTTTTAGTGTAACTGAGCATTAGAGAAATAGGCATGGCTTCTATGTGAATTTAGGAGTTTGAAACTTTTGGAGGTTATTTATGTGAATGGCCCGAAGGCAAGCCCGTGAGTGGCTCTTGGGGGACCACGTGATGTCATTAAACCAAGTTTTATGGTGTAGGGAGAGCTGACAAACCCACAATATATTTACATCATATATAATCTTAACTGTCCAGCCACGCAGCTGCTGGTGAGGTTTAATGCTAGGACAGAGGGCCTGGCAGTTAGAGGGGATTACGGCGCTGGGAACGATGGTGAGAGAGGTTACATCTTCGCAATTGAATCCCAGGCTAACGCTGTGAGTTAATTCTCTCTTTCTCTCTCTCAGACCCTTTTCTCCCATTTACCTAACCACCCCCCCCTTCACTTGATAGAAGGCAGCTCCCACTCATTAAGGGGGGGGGGGGAAAGGCCTTCCCAAGCTGGGGTGGGAGAGGAGAGGAGAAGAAGCCGCTGGGAAGTAGGAAGATGGGGGAGCTTGTCTACCCAGAGCAGCCCTTCCCTCCCCACTCCTTATTCTCTCTGACTGCAAGTCAACTGGGGTAGAGAGGCCTTGGTTGTTTGGAGTTTTCCCAGGTCTTCCTGACCCCTTTCAGCTGAGAAGAAAGCAAGCGGCAGGACAAGGGTGCTTGGTGTCTGTGCGGGTGTGTAAACTCTAGAAACAAGCGCAAAATGCCTCTAGGGTCCCCTGTTCCAGGGAGGGGTGACTTCAGCCCTTGGCCAGTGGCCCAGAATCCAGGCAGGGTGGAAAGCTGGGGAGAAAGGGAGGGATGAAGGGTTTTGTGGCTTCTGAACCCACAGGCTACCGCTGCCTGAACTGGCAGAAGCATCTCAAAGGTGGCTGTTTGAACCCAGAGGTCCCAGAGTGCCCCCTCCCTCCCTCAACACCCGGCTTGGATGTGCAGCTGTCTCAGCCTCCGTAGTCTGGCATCTTAGTCTGTCTGGAGCCAGTGTGGTTTCATGCTTCCTCCTCTCCCTCTAGCTGCTTTGGTCTTCCTGGCACTCCCAGCCCTTGCCTCAGATAAAACTAGGCCCTAAGAGGCCTAGAGGTTCCTGCTGTGAGTAGAGTGTAATTGTGTGTTGAATGGGTGAGGGAGCAGAGGCAATGTCTTTGCTAGGCTGGGAAAGTAAGTCCCCCAACCTTAAGGAGAGAGTCGCCCCCTCCCTTCATGGAGCTAGCAGGACCCAATCTGAGCACTGCACCCTGGGGTCAATCGTCAGGCTAGGGCACCCTTCAGGCTTCTAGGAAGGAGCAGCAGAAGCGTTGGGCATGGGAGGCACGTGTCTTCCACACCTGCGAGTGCTACCCCTCCCTGTGCGTCGCTGGGAGCTAAGCCAGGAAAGTGACAACATGTGAATTCAGGCTCCTCTACCGGCCAGCCACAAATAGCCGGGGGTTTAGAAGCAGGGCTGAAGGCCAGTGGACCCATAAGGGCAATTCCTCTAGGCTGGGAGAACGGGGTGGGGAGCAGAGGGAGTGAGCCAGGTCTGCACCTTCCAGAAGAGGGGTACGCCTGGGGAGCTGGGGTGTCTGGACACCTGCTTTGTGGAGAGGTGCTGTTGGGGGATGGGGAGGGAATGCTGTTAGCCTCACTTCTGCTGCCCAAGGGACTGAGGAAGAAGCGAAAAGCAGACAGGGAAGGAAAACCCAGGCAGACTCTGGGAAAATAAAGGGGGCACAGAGGCCCCCCAAAATGGGGAGTTTTAGCCGAGCCTCATCCTTCCCTCTAGCCGTCTTTCACTTGCAAGAGGAGCTTGAGTACCCGACGTGGAGGATTCACTTGAGGCCATCCCTCAGGACCTCCATCTCGGGTTAACATTCAGCCTCCCCCACCCTCCTCCCTGACACCTTTATTTCCCTAGGATCCCAGGGAATTATCTCCAGCAGCGCACTGGAAAAACTAATTATCAGTTTCCCCCTTCCTCATTACCCGTCCTTCTTGGCTCTTTTCTTCCCTCAAGTCTGTGATTTTGAAGGTTTCTGGAAACTTTCCGATCCAAGCAGCAGGGAGATGGGAGTTTCTCTTGGTCTACAACTTGACTCTTCCCCTCCGTCCAGCCTCCCCAGGGCACTAGGGAGCGAGTGCAGTGGTCTTTAACCGGGAATTTAGCCAGAGCCGAAAACCCACACCCAGGCAAGATTCTACCGCCTACCCTGACTCCTGGCCAAATCTCAGTCCCATTCCCTTCTTCTCTGTGTAGACCGGCACTCGAGGGTGTTTACAGATTTTACACAGCGTCTCTTGAACCCTTTGACGACTTCTTCACTCCCTCTTCTGTTCTTTAGGCTCAGAAGTTCTATTTAAATATCACCTCTCTTCCTGTGATAATTGATCCTCCTTCCCCTCAAATAGTTTGCCTTAGTCAGTTTTTTCCTATTGTGTAAAAACAGTTTCTAGTTCTACCTGGAAACAGGGCTGACACAAAAGGGGCCTGAAATTCTTGGTCCCCCACCCCGCTCCCCTTCCCCAACCCGAATTTGGAGTCTCCTTGGAGCGGAGGATGGGCAGGCAATCAGGTGCCAAGCTTTCCAGCCAACGCGGAAAGCTGGTAATCTTGTTCCTAGGTCTTTAACCCTAGAAGAGGTCAAGCCACCAATCCGAAATGCACTAAGCAGAGTCACATGGTCCCCATCAACCAATCAGCAAAAAGTACTTCTGTCTGTCTCA